GTTATATCGTTATCGCAAATTTTCAAATATATATCGTGATAAATATTTTTGGCCATATCGCCCTGCTCTAACCTCCAAAACTGGACAGAAGTAAAAGCCGTGAAAGTTTTTCAGATTGAGCCTGTTAATCGTGGCATTGTCAGGATCGCCGCTGTCAGCTCTCTGTCACTTGTCCCGTCACCAATGTGCAGGTCTCCTGAGGCAGTGTAAAAAAAAAAAAAAAGTTCATCGTCATTGGAAGCCAAAGGAGTGATTAAAATAAAAATTAGATGAATGGCCCTTCCCTAATGCATGTCACACTGGTTTTATTCGTATCTTACTTAGTGTGAGACTGAAGAGTCTTTGGTGAATAGCAGCACTGTTGCCAGTTGGCTGCTTCAGGTCAGGGATTCTAAAAATGAGGCGCTGCAAAGTTTTCCTCTTTTCCTCATCCTGCTCAGTCACTGTGTTTTGACATGCGCTGTTACTGTCACACTGTGGGAATCTGATACAAATTTAATAGCCTGCTGCTCCACATTTACTGCAGGTGTGCGCGTCGCACCACTGCTTTGACAACCATTCGAATTGATGACCCCGTATTTTTACCACATACCTTCCACAGCTGTGAACTCTGATCTCATGACCCCAAAGCTGCACATTGTAAACGCGGTCAGATTTTATGTGCTCAGCATGCTGCTGCAGGCAGCTAGCATAAAAGTTTTACTCTGATTCATTCACCAGTGAGGAGAACCTGTCCGAAAGACAAGACAGCAGCCGTGTTGTAAAAGAGAGGGTGTAATTTAGCTTTTATGCAGCATGAAGCATTAAGAAAGAAGGCAGAGTTCAAAGTGAGGTGCAGTTTTAGAAATGTGATGTGAATTCCAGCTGATGGTCCACCTAAACATTTACATGATTTCATAAAATGGAAACATGTGACTCAAGTTTGTGTAAATCATCAATTTTATCATTTTATTTTTTCCAAAAAAGTAAATTGCAGTTGTATGAGAATGACTAATCTTTCAAAATAAGAGCATGAGGACTGTACAGTAGTCAGTGTCACTGAGAAACTGTGCTCAGATCCAAATGTTCAATAATTAAAAAAAAACAAAAAAAAACTTCTTAAACAATTGAAACTGTTTAATTTGCTTCAGTTTTTTGTTTTTGTAGCATTCATGCACAGAGATCATGAAAAAGTGGTGTCGAAATGAATGTTTTCCAAGTCTTAAATTGTTGCCGACCAGCCTACGAGCTTTTTTTATTTGAAGTTTTTAATCTGTATTAAAGAGACTATCGAACCTTTTCACCCTGCCATGAAGACGCTTCTGGGAGCTTTGAATTTTAATTCCAAACATGGTGGAATGTTAATTTATAACTTAAACTGTCATTTGGGGGTTTTAGATGGCAAATCGGAAGAACAGATTTGAATGTACTGCACATGCATTCCAGACGAAATGTTTCTAAAGTAATTTATTCCAATTTATTCTGATTATTCCCGTTTCTTCTGTTCACCCAGCCGATCCCCTGGTGGGAAGCATCGCCACCCAATACACGACTAACAGAGCAGAACATGACCGAACAGCCAAACAGTGGACAAAGCGATACGCCACATAAACCCACAGAGGACGGCAGCAGCAGGAAAAGGAGGAGGAGGGTCGAAGGGTCGCTGGGTTGCTTGTTTTGGGGGGAGGGGGTGTTATTTCTATCTCAGATTTTTAGTACTTTATTGTCTGGTATATTTTTTGCTTCCTGATTAAGTTATCTCCAGAAACGTGGTAATAAAGGAACACAATGGAAAGGAAGTGATGAGTCTGCCTCTTTTCTTTTAAAAAAAAATAAAATAAATTGTTAATTGAAAACTGAATTCCACATACAACTCTGTGCATCTTGAAACTTCCGCTGCAAGCATTGTAAAAATATTTGTGAAGACACAAGAATGCACCGTGAAGCATGCCACACACCCATCGGCATTTATAGCCTAAGAAAAGCTGCCAAAATAAATGAGATATACAGTAAACAAAAGCACTAGTACAAAGCATAAACTGTAGTAAAGAGAAGCTGTATACACGACTGCAGTGCCGACCCTCTTTAAAAACTGAAAACGTACATTAGGGGACTGATAAGTCAGGCACCCCTGTTTAGCTTTTATGGAGTCATTTAGTTGAAAGTAGATGCATTTAGTGTTTATATATGCTAAATAAGTGTTTAGCTTATCCATAAAAATGCACATTTTTCTTTTTGTTTATACCTGTCATGTTTACCTTTACAACTGTAAGAAGAGCACCTGCTAACATGCAGGATTAACCATGTGTTAGAGAAAAGTAGTGTCCTAAGAGAAAACATGCCTTCCATACCTGAGGGAACATGCTTAATTTTAGTGTTTGTCAGTTGACAACCCAACCTGTCCAACAAGGCTTTGATGGACATGTGTGACATTATGGACGTTTACATGACTGTGAGCCAGCAGCCTTCACAAATTGTTGTCTTTGTATTGTAACACCTGTTCTGAAACTCTTACATCTTGCTCTTGAAGCAAACACGAAAACAGATGGAAACTAAACTGAAGTGAGCAGACATGCTAGGGGAAACTACCGAAACTGAATTCAAAACAAAAAGTCAGAATAGAAGAAAAACTGATCTGAAAATGCGAAACTACATTAACTCAGTGAGTAATTCAGTTGAAGCCTGTATGTGCTGTTACAGGCCTGTATTAAATCATATCATTAGCTGCTTTAGTACATTTCTATGAAGTAGTATTTTTTTTTTTTTTAAACAGACACATAAGTTTAAATGAAACTTATCATAAAGGGTTATATTCAGCCTATGAATCCTGAATAGACTCAGAAAGTTGTGATATTTTTGAAGTGGTTATTCAATTTAGCTTAACAAGTGCATCGGGTAGTTTTAACTCCCAGGACACGATAATTGCTCTTTGTGACCTCTCTCACTTAGAGCTGGTGTTGGATTAAACACAGAAGTCTGCAGACTGAAATTAGAATCTACAGTGCAAAAGTCTTGATTACCACTTATCCTTTATATTTTGCTTCCAAGGTGCCAGATTTTGTTGTAGTTTTTAAAGCGGTCTGGAGTAGTAATTCTCCAGGCTGTCTGAAGGTCTTTCAAAGATGTTGCTTTTAGACATTGGCTGCTTTTTCACTCGTTTTCAAACCAGTCTTTAAACCTGACTATTTTCAGTTGAATGAGTTTTGCATATCCAGTCTCTTACCACTGACCTATGAATCATATGTCAAGCATAAAAAAAGCACCTAACTCAAATGAACCATGTTGTGTCAGACAACAAAGAATTAGCTTTAGAACCTTTGTTAGCAGCCTATCTCAAAAACACGATTTTTCCCCCCATTTATTTAGTTGAATCTATGAAAAATCCCAAAGAAGACAGACATAAAATGGTATTAAAGCCATTAGCTGAAAACTTCAGCATGATGTGCAGTGTGTCTTTAAAAAAAGTCACTGGAAACTGAACAAGTGGGGGACAAAAGAAGTGGAAGTCCTAAAAACCTTAAAACAGTCTAGACCAGATGAACAATGATTTAAAGTCCTTCAAATAACAGGAAGACATCCAAAGAATACCTGATGCAGAACTGAAAGATGCATTTAGCCCTTCAGATGATTCATCTAGCCCACATTTTCGGCTGCATTTCAGCCTGTGGTGTTGGGATTTTGTCAAATGAACACAGAAAAGTACCATCAGATTTTGATCTGCCATGGATCTGATTGGCAACAGCTTAATTTTTAATGCCTTAATTTTTCCAGCATGACAGTGATCCCAAACATCCAGAGAGGTCCTTCAAGAACTATTCCTGAAGACTACTTAAAGTATGAGAACACTTCCTCAGAGAGTTCAGGCAGTCTTTAAAAATAAAGGCAGTCATATGAAATATTGATTTTCAAGCTCACTAGAACTGAATAAACTCTGCTTTTGCTTTATATATTGTATGTTTGGATGTTTTTCAACAAATCACTGAATCTATTTCCCATTTTCCTAGTAAAATATAAAGAAAATGAGTGGCTGAAGACTTCTGCACAGCACTGAAAGGTAAAAGTGGTTTGTTCTGCCAACGTGCAGAAGCTTTGACAGTTAACTAAAGATGAAACTGCTGCTGGCTTTTACCAAATATAGAAGGTCTCTGATGTGGGTTTTAGGTGAGTGTCAAGTATGTAGATCACAGAGGTCAGGTCAAACCCAGGTCACCACCGGGGATGCCATGTTCCAGATTTTTCTGCACTGGGTCAGCATCACTTTGGAAAAAAAGAACAGTGCTGATCATCATGGTTGCAGTATGAGCAGGAAAAAAAAAGATTAAATACATGCATGAGTAACAAGAGGGCAAGCTGTCAATTGTTTAAATGTTGTAAATGCACTAAATCAAAGCAGGGAACTTATAAGAAACTGGAAATCCAATATGTGTTCAGCATTTATTATTTAATTTTATTATGATTTTATTTAATTCATTTGTAGTTTTAGGCTCTTGTTATGCACTCAGCTGTTAACAAAATGTGTGTCAGTCTTCTTAAAATACTGGGGTGATGGGGTGTGGAGCATTGGCGACCTGCAGAGTGAGAATCATTCCAAGGATGCCTGAACGCTGGGCAGACAGACAAATCTGGTCAATGAGCACTTAGTCACACAGTCGCTGTGCATGTGTTTGCACGAAAAATTTTAAATCATGACAACTTCATATAAACTGGCTTTTTGTCAAGAAACCAGTGAATCAAAGTTATAATTTCCAAAACAGCTGGATTTGTACATGCTCAAACAACAAATTCCAAATTCAGGCAACACTAAATCCATTGAGCTTAGCTATAAATGTTACTGTATAGTATAAATGTTAATCATTCATCTCACTCAATCTCATTGTAGATATCGTGTCAGTGTAGCATTCAATGCTACAAGTCATTTATGATATGGTAAGCATATTAAACATGGTTTTATTGCATGCCGTTGAAATGAATAATGAATATCAAGGACACAGTCCTCGAAGGGTTTTGTTAATAGTTGCCAAATATGCAAAAACTGATCAGTTCGATTACAATGTTGAGTTTGTGTTATTAGAAGTTTGTAAATTACTGAAGCACATATATGATTGAGTTCAGTTTGAATGTAAGTAAACATTGCTCATTGATTTGACCACCTGTCTTCACAATATTATAATAAATCTTGTTCAGGGGTTGCCACTATCATCTGCCCCCCTCTCTCTCAACAACTCTCTCCAAGTCCTCCTTCACTCCATCATCTCTTTTTTCACCCACCATCAGGTCCATCTTCAACATCATTTGTCTAATTTCCTCTGCAGTTATTTTTTCTCTGCACAAATACGCATGTCAATTTAAAAAAGTTACATATAATTTCAAAACCATTTCCATCTAAAAAGTTATTTCACACTTTACTAAAAATTAAAAGGAAAAATAATCCTGGTTCATAGCGAGCATTTTCCCCAGGTAATTTGCAATAGCTACTTCAAGACTACTGCAAAAAAACCCACAGAGACCAGCTGGGTTCACTGACAAGTAGATTGGTGCAAGAACACAGTGATTGAATTACAGGCGTTTACAAAGTGAGCATGAGTCCAGCGCCATAATCAGAGGTATTTCCAGGGTGTTTTACATGGGGACGTGGCAAAGGGAGGATCAAGAAGTGGTCAGCCCTGCTCTGAATCCCCACTGCTGTTGACGATGTCACTTTTTGCATATATGCTTCTGTGTGGGCCTCATCATAAGAAATGCTGAGCTAAATATATGGTGGACTTGGAGCTCATGAAAGGTTTACTCGATAGAGAAAAGTCTTCAGAACAACTGAGTGTATACACACCGTCAGAGCTATGAAAGCAGCACATATACACACTGACAGTGTATCAGCTAATGCATTACTAGTGCATTAGCATAATGAACAAATGAGATACAATTACAGCATAACACACTGCCTCATGGGGGCATTATCCTTGTGCTAATCGATATACTGTGTTTACACTCCACATTACTACCATAGCTCCATATTTTAGTGGTTTACACAGTTACTTTGCAAAAAATTTGCTAGTTCAGCTGCACGTTGTGTCAGGAAGAAAATGTAGAGTTAAAAAAAAATCAAAACATGAAGAGCTATCTGCCTGAGACTCCTTGTGACAAGGAAGCAGCTCAAATTAGCTTTCTATTACTAACCACCATATTCTTTTAGCAATCTTTTGCAAACAGGGATTGGGCTGCCAGGGCCTCCTTCAATGACAACCAATCAATCCAACCTCTACAGGCCTGTTCAGGGTGGTGGGCTGGCTTAGCTCTGTGGGCTTAGGCCTGAACAGCAGACGCTCACCCTTGAACCCCAGGACAGGTTAATTTTGTCCCTTGCTTTCCTCATTGACAAGGTTGCAGCACACCTCTCAGGGCAAGCAGAAGGTACAATCCACTGGACACCAGTCCAAGATGGAGACAGTCATACATTCACTTCACAAGGTTCTGCAGTAGTGATAAATTTGAGAACCTGACCGATGCAGATAGAGGGCGAAGAGCAAACTCCAACAAGGAAGCTTAAATAAAGAACCTTCTCACTGTGAGGTGACAACACAAACCGCTGCACCTGTGCTTGCTTAAGCCATGTTTTACAAAAATATACATTTCTAAAAAGATCACCTTCTTTCTGAGTGTTAAACAACTGAACTATGCAAAAATATTAACATTTAGAGACAGTTAAGGAAACTTCTTTCCTTTTACAGTTTTTTTCCTTATAGAATCTCCTGTACATACTTTTATTGTGACCTTTTTTTGTCTAATTGTAGTTAAATTGTAACTAACATTTGTTTATTTCTATCAATTACACTTTACAACTACAGCTTTAAAGTTTAAACCTCAGCCCAGGTTTAAACAGTTAGCGAAACAGTTATAAAAGAAAAAAAAAGTATTCCACATTTATAAACCGCAGATATCACAGCTGGAATCATGCGAGGGACAGATGTTTACACTTATAGTTGTATAGTTGTAATTATTAGGGTTTGGACGCAACAGTGGCCACTTTTTTCCAAAGCTTGTTTTGTTGGTTTTCATGGTGACGCCTGTCCACGGAATGGTCTAGAAAACACGCTGGCTACAGGAAGCAATTTCAAAGTCGTGGTGACTGACTAGAAAAACTCGGCAGTTGGCGTCCGTGGACAGAACACGGGGCCGTGCATGTCTGGTGGGCTGTGAGGGGAAGGAGAGGCGTTATTCAATCAAACCTGAATAACTCAACGGTTCGCCTGCAGCCGCAGCGTGAACTGTAGAGCTTTTTGGGGCTTCTCCACTTCACGTTGTGCTTTGCAACGTGACCGCTGTTATCCAGTCCTCTGTTACGTCGACGGGGCGCTTGGCTCCGCCCCCACCAGTGTCCTGAAAGTGTGTCACTGGGTTAAAGTGGCTCGAGCAGCCCTGGCGGAGGGGCGTGGCTGACAAATGGGTCACATGGGCGAGCCCACTATTGAGAACATTTAGTTCTCTCCACGAACCCGCAGTCACAAACACGGCGAAAAAAAGAGGGGGGAGTTCCTCCCTATTCAGCTGCCTATACTCGACCTGCTCTTTCTCAGACGCGCCTTCATGACTCACCGAGTTGGACCTGCAGAATTTTTCCGAAATAGAAGCTCTATGTGAGCTCGTGCACTGTCTTTGACTATCAGAGTTCAGTACCAGTCGTTGATCTGTGAAGTGGCAGAATAAATCCTGATAGACTGTGCGAATTTAGTCAGATATCTGTTGGACATTTTTTTTTTTAAATTTTCTTAATTCATTGATCAGAGATGCCTGAGGACATTGGGACAGCCAAGCCTGGTAAGTTTGTTTTTCTTTAATAGTTAAAGTAATAGATATTTAAGCCTGTCACATCCATTGCATGCACTGTGCAGAGACGCTACTGCTACTACTACTACTACTGCTGTGTTTTTTGATTAACGGTGTCAGCTGCTTTTAATATATTTATTACAAAAAAGTTTATTTATATGGGCTTTTGACGGTTGTGGATGGGCTTCCCATTAAAGGTATGCGTGACATTGACTTGTACTTGTGTGTACCTGTGTGTCATGCACTTATTTAGTGAATAATAAGGAATTTAAAGTGTTTTAAACAGCAGGAGGTGAATGAATGGCGTCCTAGCGAGTGGACAGTATTTTAACGCAATAATCAGACTTAACGTTTGAACACCATCGTGTTTTTTCTATAGACTTGTGTTACGTTAAGTTGTCGCAGGTTTTAAAGTGTGCTAATAGACGTATTTTCGCTGTATTACCGTGTTTTAAAACGAGGTTAGGAGTGCCACTGAGGCGCTGCGTCGTTTACATTTGACACAACAACAGTGTTCCACTTCCCCGAGCCCTCTCACATGGACAGCGTATCCTGGCCATGTGCCTCTGTGTACACGCTCCCAGGGAACACTGCTCTGATTGGTCGAGGGGCGTTCCCTTCTTGGGCGCACGCTTCGGCGGTGCTCTACTCCGATTGGTCGGGACGAAGCCCGTGACGTAGGGTGTTGCACAATCCACTCCGAATGCGGCTCTCCTGGCGCGAGGCTCTCTTGCTGGGTACACGTGAGCCGGGGAGAAACAGCAGCGAGCTGACCTAGATTTTTTTTCCTGTCTTCTTGGCGTTTCGCTTTCACAGAAATTCATGACAGGTCCACGTGTGGGAGGGCCGTGAAAGAGAGCAGTCATGGCTCGGGTTAGGTAATCGTCTGCTGCGGCCTCTGGCACCAAGGGGCTTTTTAAAGAAAGGGTTAATGAAAAAAAACAGTTTAGCTTTCACGCAGGTATTCCAGTAAACCCCGACTCTTCACACGTACACGTTATATTCGTGGAAATTTCCCAAGTATGTTTGGCAGGGGCGTTTCGAGGAGTTTATAGACGGGATGGCACTGGTGTGACCCAGAATGACTTAGCGCAGACGGTGCTGTGTGAGAAGTAGCACAACACACAAGTTGTTTGTTTTAGTTTTTTTTTTTTTTTGTAAACGTTTTGAATATCTGCCACCAGTCATACTCGGTACTACACCACACAGCTTCAAAGTATATTTATAAGGTGCATGAAGTAGAAGTTACACAGAATTATACAATATTGGCTCTTAACTAGCGACTAGTTTTATACTTTAAAACTTTTAAAGTTAGTGGCATAAAAAGGCCATGGGCTTCCAAACTGAAGGGTCTCTAGAGCTTTTACAGAAGACCCGCAGATGCAGTTTTCTCAGTAAACCGTGTTTTTGAACTTGATCTTACAAAGCATGTTTGGCATTTAACATCCGCATCACCCTACTTCCCATTCATTCACTTCAACAAACTGGCGTTTGCCCTGAGGGAATTAACAGGTTATTTGAAATTTGAAGGACTTTCATGAACACTTTAAGCAGACCTGTCTGTGGATCTGTTGGCATAAAAACTGCGGGGCTAAAACACGGGGCCAGCCCGCTGAGATTTTCTTGCTGAACATGTCATTACGTAACACACGGTGGATGTTTTCCCTTTGTGTTACTTGCCTCCTACACGTGTTGCCTTGCTCTGGTGCTTCACTGACCCGTCTAGTCGTTAAGTCATTGGAGCACGCTCCCATGGCACAGAGACCCAGGCTTGTTATGTAACAGTATTATCCAACCAGCAAGCATTGGAGGTGATAAAACAGGTCATCACAGTGTTGAATAAGCCAACCAGGAACAGCACATGCTAGACTGCTGTGCTGCCTGGGTGTGTCAGAGGCACCTGTTTCTACTGTAGATGTTTGTGTTATTGTTTTATTCCCGTTACCGTTTCTGTTTCACAATAAGAGTTGGCACGCTTGATGTTTTGTATGTCAGAAAGACAAATATCTGGATCTGCTGATATGGCTGCAATGCACCATAATTCTTGGTATCAGGTTTACATGGAAACGGGCTATCACAGGTCCACAGATAGCAGTGTTTACCTTGTGTGTTTGCACTGGTTCACTTTTGTGTTAGAATTAGGGCGGACCACCCCCCCCCAAAGGCTATTCTGACAGGCAACGTAAGCGAAAGTTGTAGGTTACAGTGAAAATAATGCTGAAAGCAAAATCTACCTCAAATGCCGTATGAACATTTATATTAGCCAGTTCTTTTATATGCATCTCTGCACAGGCCAGTGAAGAAAGCCATTGTATTGGAATGAATTTAAACAGCAGTACATTAAAGCCATTTTGCCTCGAGAATCCTAAGGATAATGTTGCTTCTTGTTGATTTTTCCAGGCCATATTTTGCCCATGTGTGTATTAGAACAACAGCAGCAAGTTGCGTCTGAATTTATATGTTGAGAAAGACTAAATTCATGGTTTTCGGATGGAGCAAGTATATAAGTAAAGAGTCTTTCCCTGATTTTAAAGTGACCCTCTTGTCCTCTTTCTTTCTGTCTGCAGGAGGTGTAATTGCCTATATTTCCTCCGGGTCTGCCCCCAGCCCAGAGTCCTGCATGAGCAGCAGCTCCAGCAGCGGCTACCTGTCGATGTCACCAACTCCTTCCCGCCCCTCGCTGCCTAGCAGGGCCGTAGGCATGGTAGTGGATATTGCTCCACCAGCCAAGAACGGCAGCCCGCGGGGACACGGGGAAAAGTCCGGCCGCTCATCTGCGTCTTCAAAGAGCAGCATCACAAGTAAGCACTAAAGCCTTCATTTTATGATCAGCACGCTTATTTATGTGTCACATGTGGTGAACCCCTGTTCATCTTTTTCTTTAAAGAAATCAACGGCATGGTGCTGCTCTGCAAAGTGTGCGGGGATGTGGCGTCAGGCTTCCACTACGGTGTCCACGCTTGCGAAGGATGCAAGGTGAGACGCATCCCTAGAAGGATTCATTTAAAATTAAATTCACATCCTCTTGTGCACATGGCTCATGCTCAACACTGGGGGATCTTGGGAAATTGTTTTTAGGGCTTCTTCAGGAGGAGCATCCAGCAGAACATCCAATATAAGAAGTGTCTAAAGATGGAGAACTGCACCATCATGAGGATAAACCGCAACCGCTGTCAACAGTGTCGCTTTAAGAAGTGCCTGGCTGTTGGGATGTCTAGAGATGGTGAGAGTTAAGATTTATTTACATTCAGAAAGCAAAAAACACCCTGTGATTTATGTTTACGCTAAAAGCTTAGTAAACTTAATGACTGGTTCTCTCTCAGCTGTTAGATTTGGCCGTATCCCAAAAAGAGAAAAACAGAGGATGCTGCTTGAGATGCAGAACGCCATGAACAACATGATGAGCAACAACAGCCAGTTGCACAGCATGCTCCAAGGACACCAGAGCCCCCCGCTGCCAATGGAGGCCATGACAAGTGACTCCAACTCCTTTCCATCCTCTTCCTCCTCTGCTTCCGATTCGCCGTCGTGTTCCAATCCGTCCTCCCCGCAGTGCCCTCAGGACTCAGAGTCAGTGGTTTCTATGGACACCACCTCAAGCTCATCCTGCTCATCGGACAGCGGTGAGGACGAGGCACTTGTCACACTGAACAGGCAGCACCAAGATGCCTTAGCGTTCACCCAGCAGAGATCACCAATGCAAGGTCAGACCTCACCAGCCACAGTCTCCGTGGAGATGGGGTGTGAAAGACGATTGGAGGAGCAGCAGGATAGGTGGAACTGCTGGAACAACAGCGTGGCGGTGAGAGATTACCAGAACTGTCCTTACAGCAGCGGCCAACACGTCACCAACCCGGCCTACAGGGAGGAGAGGGGAGGTTGCCAGCAGCAGCTCAACAGCACCCCTAGCTGTGAACAGTCAGAAGACAGCCAAAGACAACAGACAGAGCTCCACACACAACCTGCCTCACATGGTTATAATGGACCAAACAGCTGTGTGAATAACAGGGCACACTTGGTGAGTGATTTCATTTCTCCCTCTTTGAAAATCTTCAGAGTCCAATGAAAAGAAAAGCTGGATTAATTTTCATCACACTGACATCTTTCTTGTTTGTTTTTCCAGCTGTGCCCGATGAACACCTCACCTTACGTGGACCCCAGCAAGCCCAGCCAGGAGGTCTGGGAGGAGTTCTCGATGAGCTTCACACCAGCCGTGCGAGAAGTGGTCGAGTTTGCCAAAGTGATCCCGGGCTTCCGCGACCTACCCGAGCACGATCAAGTCGGCCTGCTGAAGGCTGGAACCTTTGAGGTAAGAAGGCAAACAGACTGAACACAAACACTCGTGTTATTTTGTTCTTGCTTTGAAGTCAGACACTGCAGGCTCGTTAATACCAGGAATACAGGAGCCACAGTGAGCAATCTGCCAGCTGTGTGCACAGGCAAATATTTGTTCTGATAACAGTTGGGATAGAAATGAAAGAGGCTTATCGAATCTTCTGTTTCAACTGTGTACCAGTAAATTCTTGTCAGATTCTTCGAGGAGCTGAACCTCAGTTAATTTAAAGAAAAAATTGATACAGTGCAAAGTTGCAGATTCTTGGTCATATACCAACTACAGTATGCAGTGAAATGACCCTGCTCTTAAGTATGGTGCCAAAGGTTTAAAGTGGGATGAGACTATTAGGCATTTATTACATTATAAAGTGAGAAATGCAGCTATTCGTATATTTCTGTTGGCTTGATCAAAGTCTTTGTCATGGTCTAAATAATTAATTCCCGTCTTTGCTTCCAGGTGCTGATGGTTCGATTTGCCTCTCTGTTCAACATCGCCGAGCGGACGGTAACCTTCCTGAGTGGCAAACGCTACAGCCTTGACACACTACGCTCATTGGGTGCCGGCGAGCTCCTCAACTCAATGTGCGAGTTCAGTGA